AGCCTCCCAAGCAGCTGGGATTACAGTTGTATGCCACCATGCCAAGCTAATTTTGTATTTTTATTAGAGGTGGAGTTTCACCATGTTGGTCAGGCTGGTCTCAAACTCCCAGCCTCAGGTGATCTATATCCACCTCTGCCTCTGAAAGTGCTGGGATTATTGTCATGAGCCACCATGCTCAGCCTTTTGTAGAGTGTCTTACTAGAGTTCTTTGCATGTCCTGAATTTGAAAGTGGGCCGCTCTAGCTAGGTTGGGGAACTTCTCATGGATGTTACCCTGAAATATGTTTTCCAAATTGACTGCATTTTCCCTATTTCTTTTTGGTACACCAGTCAGATTTGGTGTCTTTACATAATCCCGTATTTCTTGGGGGTTTTGTTTATTCTTTTTCATTCTTTTTCTCTATTCTTGTCTGCCTGTCTTATTTCAGAAAGACAGTCTTCAAACTCTGAGATCCTTCTCTTTGTCTGTTCTGTTATTATTACTTGTGATTACATTATGAAATTCTTGTATTACATTTTTCACCTCTGTCAGATTGTTTCTTCTCTATACTGGCTGTTTGGTTGATCAGCCCCTGCAATGTTTTGTCATGATTTTAGCTTCCTTGCATTGGGTTACAGCGTGCTCCATTAGCTCAGTGAAATTTGTTTTTATCCATGTTCTGAATTCTACTTCTGTCATTTCAGCCATCTCATCTTCAGCCCAGTTCTGAACCCACTGCTGGAGAGGTGATGCAGTCATTTGGAGGAAAGATACTCTGGCTTTTTGAGTTTTCAGTATTTGCACTGATTCTTTCTCATCTTTGTGGATTTATCTACCTTCACTCTTTGAGGTTGTTAGCCTTTGGATTTTTTTTTTTTTTTAGTTTGTTTGTTTCTTTTAATAGTCTGGACAGTTTTCCATAGGGCTACGCAGTTCTCTGGGGGTCCACTCCAGTCCCTAGTTACCTTGAATTTTCCAGAACCTTGGAGGCATCACCAATGAAGGCTGCAAAACAGCAAAGATGGCAGACTGCGCCTTCCTCTGGGAGCTCCTTCTCAGGGAGGTACAGACCTGTTGCTGGCCTGAATACACTTGTAGGAGAGGGCTAGAGACCCCAGTTAAGAGGTCTCACTCAGGAGGAACGGGATCAGAGACCTGCTTAAAGAAGCCCTCTGGCTATGATTTCACAGAGCAGCTGTGCTATGCTGGGATTCCCCTTCCACTCCTGGTCAACTTGGACTCTCCAGAGCCCAGAGACTGGAATGATTTTGTCATCCAAACAGCAAACATGGCTGCCTACCTCTCCCTCTAGGAGCTCTGTCTCAGGAAGTTCTCAAATGTCTGTCAGCCTGAGAACATGGGCAGCGGTGGTTGGAGGCCCCAGTTGGGGGGGGTCCTGCCCAGTGGGGAGGAACAGATCGGGAGCCCACTTAAAGAAGCAGCCTGGCCACATTTTGGTAGAACAGCTGTGTTGCACTGGGGGATCCCTTTTGTCCCTAGTTGGTTTGGACTCTCCAGAGCTCACAGGCTGGAACTGCTGAATTTCCAAACAGCAAAGATGGCGGCCCTTCCCCTCCCCCTAGGAACTCTGTCTTAGGTAGGGGCGCTATTGTTGCCAGTGGTTGGCTGGAATTCCAAGCCAGTGGGTCTTATCCTGTGACGCACTTTGAAAGTGGGGCCTGTGGACCATCACCGCTCAGGCCCCTCAGTTCAGCCCTCTTCCCAGTGGTATGTACAGAGGTCCAACCTCCCACCTTGACACAGCTGCAGTCACTCTTGCTGGGAAGCCCAGAGCCTAAGTAGGTAAAGCTCCTTCACCTCCACACATGCCTGAGCAGCTGCTCTGCCAGGAATCCACACAGCTCTGTGTGTCAGACTGAAGGCCCTGGTGGAGTGGGTTTAGGAGGAGATCTCCTGACTGGGGGTTTGCAGAGATCTGTGGGAGAAGCATGGTTTTCCAGGGGCACTCATTCACTCACTACTTCCCTAGGTGGGGAGGTTCCCCTGGCTCCATGTCACTCCGGGCTAGGCTGTTTTTCTGTCTTGCTTTTCTTCATTCTCCAGGGTTCAAGTTGTTTCCTTGATTAGTCCCAGTGTGAGTACCTGGATGTTTCAGTTAAGGTGCTGTATTTACTCACCCTTTTGGTTCCTCTCCATGAGAGTCATGTACCCTAGCTGCTTCTAGTCAGCCATCTTAGCCTGAATCTAAGTAATTAATTTTGACCATAAAGAGGTAACTGAAAAATTCCCAATGTCACTTATTTCCTTCAATACACAGAGGAATTGTGATATTGCTAAGCTGGATTTTCTAATACAGATCAAAATCTTGATAGAACAAGTATTTTTCAAAAGAAATATTCATTCAATAATTTTTAAAGTACCTACTCTGTTGAAGCATTTAAAAGAGTAAATACCTCAAAAGAGTAGGTACTTAAAATAACAGAAAAATAAATTTCCCATGGGTACCTCCTGCCTTTGACAACCTTATGGCCTAACAACCACCTGGGTGTGGCGGGGAGAACCTGGAATCTCAGCTACTCAGGAGGCTGAGGCAGGAGGATCACTTGAAGTTGTGGTGACCTGAGATGATACCACTGAAATACAGCCTGGGCAACAGAGTGAGGGGGTGGAGGGGAGAAGGAGAAGGAAGAGGAGGAGAAGAAGAAGAAGAGGAAGAGGAAGAAAAGTGAAGAGAGAGAAGAAAGAGAGAGAGGGAGGGAGGGACAAGGGTAGAAGTTCAGAAACAGGAATAGAGAATATAGAAAACTGGAGCTGTATTGGAGATACATGTAAGGGTTAAGTGCAAGAGAGCAGAGCAGGGGAAATGACTGATCCCAAGTCCACAGTTGAATGTTACTGTTTCCACCCCCATAGACCATTCAGTGCTGGGCTTTTTATGAAGACAGGTCCTGGTGCTATTACAGATGATCCCCAGTTAACAATGAGGTTATGTCCCCATAAGCCTATCATATATTGAAAATATCATTATGTAGAAAATAAGTTTAATACACCTAGACTACTGAACATCATAGCTTAGCCTAACCTACTTTAAATGTGTTCAGAACACTTACATTAGCCTACAGTTGGGCAAAATTATCTAATACAAAGCCTATTTTATAATAAAGTTTTTTTTTTTTTTGAGACGGAGTTTCGCTCTTGTTACCCAGGCTGGAGTGCAGTGGCGTGATCTCGGCTCACCGCAACCTCCGCCCCCTGGGTTTAGGCAATTCTCCTGCCTCAGCCTCCTGAGTAGCTGGGATTACAGGCACGCGCCACCGTGCCCAGCTAATTTTTTGTAATTTTTAGTAGAGACGGGGTTTCACCATGTTGACCAGGATGGTCTTGATCTGTTGACCTCGTGATCCACCCGCCTCGGCCTCCCAAAGTGCTGGGATTACAGGCTTGAGCCACCGCGCCCGGCCTATAATAAAGTTTTTAATAACTTATATAATTCATTAAATAAGTAACTGCAATGAAAAACAGAATGGTTTCACACCATGATAAAGTCGAAAATCCCAAGTCAAGCTATTGTAAGTCAGTGGCAGTCTTTGCCTAGATAAAGAAGGCCGGCCGTTAGAGCTGGTCACAAGAGAGGGTGGCTGTTGAATGGATAGAGCTAAGATTTTAGAGCCAGTTCATCCAGGATTTAATTCCCAGTCACTACTTATATTGCATTAGGAATGTTTCTTAATCTCTCTGAGCCTCAGTTTCCAAATCTTTTAAAATGGGATCAATAATTCTTGTTTTTCTCACATGTAGTTATGTTCACACCTAACCCAGCTTCCTCTTTCTGGTTTAATGTTCTTTGCATGTTGTTCATAAACTTTGAAAGACTGCTTAGTTGAGCACAGATGGTTTTTAGAGCCAGAGACAGGGTCACATCCAAATTCAAAGACAACCATTACTACTTAATGTGTAAACTTGGGAAGTCATTTTATTTCTGTTTCTTCAATTTTGTAGTGAAGAGTGAATCATCTAAAATGACAAAACAGTGGCCTTCAAGACCATACTCCTCACAGTGTATTTGCTAACAGTTTCCTATACAACATTGTAGGCTAAGCAGATATTATTGTTCTTTTGTTTTTTTGAGTCTTGATTTTAAAAGGTTTATTGAATAATAGTAATAACTTAGACTTATGTGCCAGGCTCCAAGGTAAGCATTTATGTATATTATCTCATATAATTTTCACAACAACCCCAAAGTGTACTTTTATAATTTCATTTTATAGATGGGAAGCCTGATGCTTAAACAATTAAATAACTTGCTCCAGGTGACATAGCCAATATGTGATGAAGTTGGGATTTGAACCCAGAAAATCTGACTTTGGAATCATTCTCATAAGCACTATACTATACTGTCTTCCATGTGATTCTGATAACTTCCCTAGAGGCAGTTGCCCCACTCCCTTCCCATTGCTATAAAGCATCTAGCACAGTACCCAGTTCCAAACAGCCACGTAAACAAATGTGGGTTCTGTCTCTGCAGCCCATCTCCCAAGTGTTAGAGCTAAGGCCTGATGACACTTACCAACCATTGAGTAGCTGCTTGTTGGAGCAAATCAGAAAAGAAATCTCTGTAAATGAAAACTCTTTCTAAGTCCCCTCCTTTATAAATTGAGCAATAACTAATACAAATTTTGAGAATAATATGATTTTGGTATTGCCTTGAAGTTTACTGTATTTAGGTTTGACTTGTAGGCCATAAATATACCCAGGCAAATTTAGATAATTAGGAGGTATGATTTTAAAGATATAAAACCATCCCTCTTTATCTTCTCTACACTATTGTATTCTTTTCACCACCAAACATATGTTTGTGTGTTTATTTTCTGTAACCTTTTCAGAAGTATATATGCTACAGTAGAGGAGGGACTTAATCTGTTCTATTCCCTGCTGTATCTCCAGTACCTAAAATAATATGGAGTAGGTACTTAAAAATTTTATTTTATCCATGAATGATTAAACTGTTTGTGCAAATTATGGAAAACTGACATTTAAATATTATTTTGCTTTCTAGCTTGGATTAGAAGAACAAGAAAGACTCCACCTACTATGGAGGTAAGACTACGCAAGAAAAATATCTCATAGGAGTGTATATTCCCAAGAATATGTGAACCTTCAGAAAATGTATGATATGTTTTCCCAAAGTGTTGATTTTATTCCATAGAAAATAACTTAAAACATTTTTATTATAAAGTAATATATAAACATATCACTAATAAAATAATACATGATAAATGCTCATATTATGGAATATAACAAAATTTACTTAAAATTTAAAGTTAAATAATAAAAATTTAAAACAAAATAAAAACACTTTTTAGAAAGTCTGGATTTGGAGCAGTTTGCACCAGGTTGTTTCCCCTGGGTCTTGGGAGTTCTCTCTGCCAGCACTGAGGCTTTTGTAGAAAAGTTTGAGAAACACTGGATCTCTGTGTCCTGTCCAAATCATGCTCTTATGTTTCCCTTAATTTTATATATTTAAATCCATCAAGTATCCAAAGAAACTTTAAAATACAGAATTAGCAAGTATTTTATAACACTCAGTAATTAGTAGTTGAGTTGAATTTTTATTTAAAACTTAAAAATTTATAGTTAGTGATAAACAATAAAAAGCATAGAAATGCTATGGTATATGTGTTTTGCAACGTGATTTTAATATAGATTATTTTATTAAAATTATAATTTTAATTTTAAAAATACATAAAGAGCTCTAAAATTATTTTATAAGAAGTTATTTCATAAAAGGAGAGTGTCTAAATGCATTAGTATACTGCCTTGTTTACTTTTTGTCTGGAGGCATTGCTTTCATTTTACTATTTAGGACTTCCTCCTCTTTTCTGTTGCCTATTCCCTCACTACTATAAACTCTGATGACAACATAAATGGGCTCCAATACTCAATTCCCATTTGTTAGGAGGTGGGTGCTCTAGAGCAGAATCATGATGATACCTTAACTGGCACGTTTATCTTTACCTGCTCTATACATTCATCATATACCAAACCCATCAATGTTCCTTCAGCCTGAGTATATTCTGACTGAGTATATCTGTTGACCCATTCCTAACTTCATATATTGCTTCTGCCTTGTCCTACATTTCTCAGACCCTTCTTTCCAACATTGATAAAATTTGGAATAAAAGCTGTTTTTTGGGGGGAAAAAGGGGCAATGTGATCCAGGATTCAGAAGTATGCCCAGTAGTTTACAGTGAAGGATGGATTGAAGAGCCTTCCTATTCTCCTTCTCTTGGACATAATAAGTGCTACTGTTAAGGTGCTTCCTCCATCCTTAGAACTTTGAAAGCCTTCTTCATAGAAACATGAATATGCAAAGTGATTAGTGGAGGCAATTGCAATAGCTGGGCCTCAGGCACCACCTCTGTGAATTTTAGGTTATTTCAGCACCTCAAACAAGCTCTAGTTAGAACACACCAAGTCCTTCTATCCCTGAGCTCACTCTTGTTACTTTTGATTGTCCAAAATAAGCCCTCTTTTGTTGCCTTCCTTTTAGTGTACTATTAATCACTTTGTTCTTTATGCTGCTTTCTACCCTCCCTAACACACACACACACACACACACACACACACACACACACACACTTTTCCTTCCTCTTGACCCTTTCCATTGTGTTTCAGGAATTTCTGTCTCTTTGTTAGCAAGTTACCATTCACCATTAATATTTTCCTGGAAACTTTCTCTACCACATAACCTCAACCAAAATCTGCCTGTGCCTGAGAGATAGTGAGTTCCTTTTTTCCTTGAAGGAAGTTGTGCTTGCTTTCCCACGTCCCACAGAAAGAAAGTGAGTCCAACTGCTTCTTGCTTCCCCAAATATTCTTTGTTTGTGGGCCCAAGAGAGTGGAAGACCTTTGTTATCCATATAGCATGCTATCCATGTATCTTTTTCTGTACCTGATCATCATTTTTATGTGTGCCAGCATGCAAGCCAGTCTACCATACTAATGGCCGAGATTAGAACCTGGCATAAGGTCTTCTCCTTTCAATCCCTTCCTAAGTCTTAGCTGCCCAATTCTTTGACTTTATCCACACTAGTACCTCTAACTCGAGTGAACAACCACTTCGTTAGGCACATTTTAGTTTTTATCAAACACAACTCTTACCACTGTAACTTTTATACTCTTCAAGTCCAAATTCTAGATACATCATATTAAGAGGAAAAAGATTCTCTTAATGTAAAGTAAGACATATTTTTTAATGTAAAGTAAAGCTTATTTAGTTACTAAGCTGTGAAATTATAAGGCAAATTCCACGGGTTTCAAGAAATAGAACTTTGCCATCTACTTTAGAACCATATATCCCATCCCAGTCACAACCCCCTCTCTCCTGACAAAAGCAAACCTTAACTCAACTTTTATAGTAATAATTTCCTCTCATTTTAAATAGTTTTTTCACCTAAATGTACATTATAGTTTAGACTTGTCCGTTTTGTAAAAACTTCATATTTGTTTTAAATCTTCAGTCTATCCTCTTCCATCCCTTTTATTTCCTTACAGATTTATGTGTTAAAAAACCCACTGAGTTACCCTGTAGAGTTTGCCCACAGTCTAGATTTTGCTGATCTTATGTTCCTGGTACGTTTCATCATGTTTCTCTGTCCACTATCTTCCTTACAAATTGACAACTGGATCCAGAAACTAGATACGTTGTTTCAGATCTTTTAGTGAATACCCAACCCCAAATAAACTTCCTTCCATATCTCCTATACATTAGGACTAAAGGTTAAACAACAGCCATTAGAATGCCATTTACAATAGTATCAGAAAACATAGAATACTATGGAATTAAGTAAGCAAAATATGTGCATAAGACCTAAATAAATAAGGAGAAGTATCTGTTCATGGATTGGAATATACAATATTGCTAACATATTCATTCTTCTCAAACTGATCCACAGTGGTACTTACGCTTTATTTTGCATCCACATCACCTGAAAGACTTGTTAAAACACAGATTGCTAGACCCCAAGCTTAGAGTTTTTGATCCACTAGTTCTGGAGTAGGACCTGAATATTTGCATTTATAACGTGTTCTTGGATGATGCTGATGCTGGTGGGGTTCATAGCCCACATTTTGTGAACCACTGATTTATAGATTTAATAAAATAAATATCCAGTTAAAACCACATCAGACTTTTTGGGCAGAAATCAACATGCTGATTTGAAAATGTACTTGGAAATGTCAAAGACCTGGAGTAGCTGAAAGCAGCCACGAGAAAGGAGATGAAAATTAAAGGGCTAATACTGTCTGACTTTAAGAATTACTTTAGAACTGTAGTTATCAAGGCAATGTGATACTGCCATTAGGATACTGGATAAATAAATCAATGGAAGAGAACAAAAGTCCAAAAATAGATACTATACAATCAGTTGGTTTTTAACAGTGATGTCAAAACAACACAATTAGGAATGGAAAGTCTTTTTAGCAAATGGTTCTGGAATAACTTAATATCCCTATGGGAAAAATGAATTGATCCCTACCTCACATTGTACACAAATATTAATTCATGAGAGATCATAGACTAGACATAAAACCAAACTATTGTGCTTCTTGAAGAAAAAAAACAAGACTATTTTTGTTTTTTTGGACTATCTTTGCAGTTTTGAGGTAGACGAGAAAGAACAATCCATAAAGGAAAAATACAGATTAAACAGATTTAATTAGATTTAAAATCTAATGCTTGTTACAAGAGAACATTAGGAAAGCAAAAGACTAGGAGAAAATTATCATAGTACATATATTTGACAAAGGAATTGTATCCAGGCTATAAAAAGAATACCTCAACTCAGTGTTAATAAAAAAGAAGCTAGGCTGGGGGCGGTGGCTGACGCCTGTAATCCCAGCACTTTGGGAGGCGGAGGCGGGTGGATCACAAGATCAGGAATTCAAGCCTGGCCAAGATGGTGAAACCTCGTCTCTACTAAAAATACAAAACTTAGCCAGGTGTGGTGGTAGGTGCCTGTAATCCAAACTACTCGGGAGGCTGAGGCAGAGAATTGCTTGACCCAGGAGGCGGAGGTTGCAGTGAGCACCACCACTGTACTCCAGCCTGGGTGCCAGAGTGAGACTCCATCTAAAAAAAAAAAAAAAAGCAGCTAATAAATATTGGGCAGAAATCTTTAACAGCCTCTCTGTAAGATACGTTTTAGGTTTATGAAAAGATACTTAATAATACTCGTAATCATTGGAACCACAATGAGATACCACTACAGACCCTTTAAAATGGCTTATATTTAAAAGATTGAAAACTTTTGTAAGGTGCTGGTTGGGGTGAAAATGATACACTCATGTTTGAAAACTGACAATTTGTTATAATATCAAACACACCTGCCCTATGATCAAACAGTAATTCTCCTGGCCACCTTGAAAACTGAAGGGATCAATTTTTAGTCATACTTTCTGGAGAGTTCTGGCCAACGATCTATCTCCTTGGCATACTATTCTAGGCTTCCTGATTTGGGCTCAGCCCAATGTTCTAGCTTTGCCTCTTTAGGCTTGTTCTGTCTACCCTACTCCAAGGAACTCCCTGCTGTTTCTTTCTCTTGTCTGATTGCTGTAACTAGGACTTCCAATATTATATTGAATAACAATAGTAAAAATGAGCATTCTTGTCATGTTTTAGATCTTAGAAGAAAGGCTTTCAGTATTTATTCAGTATGGTTAGGCTTTGTGTCCCCACACAAATCTTATCTTGAATTGTAATTATGAGGTGTTTAGGATAAGAACTAGTAGGAAATAATTGGATTATGGAGGTTGTTTTCCCCATGCTGTTCTTGCGATAGGGAATAAATTCTTAGGAGATATGATTTTATAAGTTTTATAAGTGGTAAATTTTTCTGTGTTCACACACACCCTCTCTCACCTGCCACCATGTAAGACATGCCTCTTCCCCTTGTGTCGTGATTGTAAGTTTCCTGAGGCATCCCAAGCCATGCTTGGGAAGTCAATAAAGCTTCTTTTTTTTTTTTATTGCATTTTAGGTTTGGGGGTACATGTGCAGAGCATGCAATACACTTGCATAGGTACACACATGGCAGTGT